TTAACTATGAGAAGTTTGTGTTGAGTATAGTGTGATTAAATTCAAAGTGTATTTTGAGTGATGTAGGAAAAAATAATAAAAATTGTAAACTTTCATGAAAAATAACAAAATCTCAACTACTATTTATAATTTTAATGGCTAATTGAAGTATAGGTTAAAATATGTTTCATTTAATATAATCACATGATAATTTTTCAGTAAGATATCAATCAATTCACACAATTGTGGCATTGTTTGCCTAAATATGCAAATTAGCTATAAGTCATCCAATTTTTTTACTCCCATGTGCGAAATACACAATGGGAGTCTTTGCAGTTCGTGTGGCTGTTTATGCGTGTCCCGCTGTTTCACTGATATCTCTAGAACCATATTCTGGACTTTGATGAAACTTGATGCATAGATGCTCTGGGCTAATGTGGCGATTTGATTAGGTTTGGATTTAAATCCCATTAATTACCTAATTTGCATGATTGGCCCACTGATATCTAAAGAACTACTCATTGGATTTTGATGAAAGTTGGTACATATATGCTTTGGGACAATGTGCACACCTGATTAGTTTTGAGTAAAAATCCATGCTTATTAATTACCTAATTTGCATAATAATATGTCAATTTTTGTTTTTTCCACTGATATCTCAAGTACTAATCATCACATTACAATGAAACTTGGTACATAGATGTCATAAGACAATGCACAGATCTGACAAGTTTTGGGTTAATATCAGTGCTTATTAATTACCTTTATTAGCCTAATAATTCATTACAGGATTACAGTGATTCACACCTTTTAGACAATAGTGATTTCTAACTGGTTGTTGAGGGACTGTGACGTAAATACTCTAAAACAATGCAACGATCTAATTTGTTTATTGTCTTCAATACTTTCAGGACATGAGAGTTTTTTACCAAACGCTTCAGCGTGGTATTAAAAGTTTGTTTTCAGGGATGGGTGATACCAAGGTGGAAGTAATTCCTGGAATTACAATAGAGAGGGTTCAGGTCGAAATACAATATATAGTGTTTTCATGTTTCGTCTGATATTTCTGTGGTATTCTGCTGCTGTAACTAATGCAAGATTTGTTCCAAAATTCAGTGTTTTTTTTGCTGAAAACACCCCTATGTTTTAATGGCAGAGTCGAACTAGCTTCACTTCCACTGGGAAATCTGCATTGTTGCTTGAATGAGAAGCTGATTAAACACTGTTCCTGACCGACGAATGAATATGTAACAGCTAATTTTAACAGCCTATCACATGATTTTTCTCAAAATGTCAACATGGAAAGAGGCTATTCCATTTTACGCAGGAATAATTGGGAGTAGAATATGTGAGGGATAGTATCAACAGAGATGTGTATACTAGTAATGAAAAGTAATATCTATCGTTCTTTTGCATCGCTAACCCTTTTGTTTTAGTATACTGGTTTGAAAATGTTGAATTTGCATAATTTGCGATGTTTTTTTTTTTTTACTGAAACTTCCCTATAGATTGAATCACGGGTTTGAAGGAGAACGACACACCACGTGATTCGTTTGAATACAATGATGAGGGGTGCAGATAGGCCACCGTCCGATCTCGATGGAACGTTTCGAATCAATCATACATAGTTTAAATTTATGTTGAAGTTAAAAGTTCCTTCACAGAATTGTGCATTGGCAAACATGCCGTTCAACTGCGGTACTCCACTGACGGGATGACTTTTGTCGACAGTGGTCGTCGCTGAGCTGCACGCTACAACTTTGCTTGTGATGTTGCTTGTTAGCCGTGGATTGAATGAATCTTGATTACCGGTTAAAATGTTGCTCATTTGGCGTTGGTAATCTTTATTTGGAACTAGGTAACGCCGCAACGTCGCCAGCAAAAACCTCCTGGTACTTTGATGCAAAAAAACATTCAGTCTTTAGAAGTCACTGTATTTTATTGCTAGAACGTATTCTGCTGTTAAATGTATTATTTCCAGCCGTTTGCGATAGTATTTTCTAGATTGGAGGCAGCATTTACATTCCATTCAAAGTTCAATGTTGCGTTGGGATTGTTGGCGTTGGTGATCTTTTACCAGTGCGCAGCGCAGCGTAGCCAAAATAAATGCATGATCATTTGAACAATGCAATTTCAAGGCCGGTAGGAGGTAATAAATTTGGGGCGAAAGTATTCAAAAATCTGTTTTTGGCTGTTGCCACGGCAGCGGTGGGCCAAGTTTTTTCTTCTTCAATTAGTGATGGTCTGACCTGCCTTATGGACAAAATCAGCCAAGCCAAAATAATCACAGAGCAGTTAAAAGCCGTTGCTGGTGAAAAGTTACCCTAACTTTCAGGTCAATTTTCTCTGTAATGAAAATAGACATATAAAAACAGAAAATTTATGCCCACACTCAAGCTGAGTAGAATGAGCTATGTCCGTGCTTTTTAATCATAGAAATGTAGGCTGAGATACATTTGGCGCGAATGTATTAAACAAATCCCTCATACTCTATTGAGACTTGACACAGCACAGTGAAAATTGGATTCACATGGACATGTAATGCTTGAAAACGTTTCAGCGAAAATAAACTAAGTGAAATTCTATGTGACTTCATAAGAGTTGGAAATGAACAAATTATATGACACCCGACCCTACCACTCCATAAACAATGTAAACTACCGGTACCAGTGCATTATATTTGCCTTCAGGAGAAATTTAAATAAACAAATTATATGACAACGAACTTAATTATAATGTCAGCCTCTAGTTCAGCACTGATTAAATAAACTACCTCGTCTTTATGCCAACTTGTAGTTATTCGTTGCCCACATCGCTGACTTCAAAATATATGTTTCAATCCTAGGAATTTCACTTGCAATAAATGCATGGGAGTGCCAGTCTTTCATGATTTTTTATTGTAATGTCAATTTCTTGCGATTACTCGGAACATGAAGCTGTAACCACATACCGCCTAGGTGCTGTAACTAAATCCTGGTATAAGCACCGATTAGGCAGGCTTGAACTATGCATGTAAAGCCACCTGAGAGGTATATCCAATCATGTAGATTACTCATTGTTTGGTAACTATTTGCTGCAAATGCAGCAAAAAACAATATAAAAATATTACCCACACAGCATTCTACAGGTTACTTGTTCTAAACTTTTTTTGATTTCAATATTAGCATTGTTTTTCCATCAAGGGACATTATAGACAATCTGCAATAAAGTGGTTGTATTAACTACATGCAAAAAGCTTCATATATGTGTTACCGGTACTATTTCAGGCGAAAAAGAACGGTGCTGATGGAGTGGAACTTGATCTTGAATTTACTAAAGATGGCGTTCCAATTTTACTGCATGATTCTACAGTGGATCGCACTACCAACGGAAGCGGAAACATAAACTCATTTACATTTGAAGAAGTTAGAAAGCTAGATGCATCATATGGTCACAGATTGAGGTAAATCAAATTTTCTCGCACCAAAGTTGATGACTGAATCAAATCAGCATGCTGACCATTGTATTTGTCGCTCTCCTAATAAATATACTTCTAGCACATTATGATTTATATGCACATCTATTGGAGATGAATTTTTAATAAAATTCCCTATGACTGTGTCTAATACAAAGTGAATGACCTCTGTGTTGTTTATTTCCAGTGCCACGCTTGGCAATGAACAAATCCCAACTCTTGAAGAAGCCACGGTGGAATGCTTAAAACTAGGACTGAAGATATTCTTTGATGTAAAAGGCAACGCAAAACAGGTTATGGTTAAATTACAAGTGCCATAAATGGTTATAGTTGATTTCTCTGGTTGCATGATGGTATTTTCTGAGTACAATGTAGGCATATTATACTACCATAATAATGTTGTTTGGTTTGTGTTTTTCGTGATTATTTAACTTTTTTAAGCTGTTCATGACAACACAAGTTTGTGAAGTTCTAAATGTGTTAAAAGGTCTTTGCTCAGCATTGAAAAGTCTGACAATTTTTGGAGAAAAAAAATCAAGCCATTCAAACTTCATATTCTCACAATGAACTCGTGTATAATCTTATCATGTCATGACTTGTTATATACTGGTATAAACTTATGAACTGTTACAAACTATTTTCCCCCAACATTTACTTCCAGGCTGCAGAAGCTTTAACCAAATTGTACAAAAAACACGAGGAACTTTACAAGACAGCAGCAGTCTGTTCATTTTATCCAACTGTTATTTACAGGGTAAGCTGATATTTTGTATCCTATTTGCTCTTGTAAGTTCATGTTTGCACTTGAAATGTCAGTACTGTACATAATTTGTTGTTATATATTGTAACGAATAACAGTAATTTTTGAGCTGTCTACAGTAAGCTACAGAAGCGGGCAACGAAAATGTGAGTAAATGTTAGAAAGTTAAAGCAGGGGAGTCGTCACTTGCGCATGCGTCAGATGACCATAGCATGTAACTGTTTACAAACAAGCATCTACCCATGAGTCTTTACATTTTAGCTCAATTCCCATGCTTGCACAGGTGATGACCCTCCCGCTTTAAGCTTTGCATTTACATGCCTTCTAGTAAATACGGTACCAAAAATTACATGTACATATATTTCACTATTTGCTTTGATCTACAGACGAGACTCATCGATCCCAATATAGTAACCGCTCTTACGCATCGTACTGGTGATTTAACATATGACATAACAGGGCAGCCACGAGACTTACCGTTGTGGCAATCGATGGTTGCACCCTTTGCCGACGTAATAACTTACTGGGCACATCATTCATGGCTTTGGTATTTCTGTGGAAACTCTGCATTTTTGCTGATGAGAGCAGAAGTTTCTCTGTAAGTATTTCTGATTGCTGTGATTTTTTTCTTCTTCATGTCTGATTTGTTTTGTTTTTCATGTGAATAGATTTAATATCTTGTTTAAATTTTTAAAATGAAATGATAAAATTAAATAAAAATTAAATAGATTGACAAATTATGAGTAATGAATAAATTCCTGAAATATAACACAATATGTTTGGTAAAATAAATATTGAATTTTGTAAATAAAATTGTATTAAATTTTGAAAATAAAATCGTATTGAAGTTTGTAAATTAAATTTTAATATGCTTTGTAAATTAAACTCTATTACAGTTTGTGAATTAAATCGTATTTAATTTTGAAAATTAAATTGTATTGAAATTTGTAAATTAAATTTTATTGTGCTTTGTAAATTAAACTCTATTACAGTTTGTGAATTAATTTGTATTTAATTTTGTAAATTAAATTATACTTTAATTCTATACTGATCACAAATTTGTGCATACAAAATTCAATATTTTGTTACCTAACCAAATGACAGTGAATGTGAATAAATCCCTCTAACTGAAATGAGCTTCATAAGTTAATTATTATACAATGTAATTATGTTTATATTTTTCAGACAAGTCAAAGCTTATTGGGAAGCCAGAAATATTGCCCTTATTGCATGGACAGTGAACGATGAGATTGAAAAGCAGTACTATGAAAATCACTTGCGCACTGATTACATAACCGACTGTTTAGCTACTGATTGTGGTACAAGTAAATATAAATAACAGATGACTTTGTTATAACTTCTCTAGTATATCATATTTAAAGATATTTTTGGGTAATTTAATACGTAATTGTACCCAATACTAAGAAATTATTTCAGGTACATTCTTGAGGATGTTAGTTAAAAAACAAATTTAACTGGATTAGTTAAAACAAATTTAAAACAGAATTGAAAAAAATTTTACATATCCTATTTAGGTGTACACACATTTTTATAAAACATTTACTGGGAGTTATTTATGCTACTTCCATCACAAACAAGGTCTTCAACAAATGGCATCTTCTCATTTACCAATTCTTAAATTGTAGGAGTGTTTAAGATATTGCTAATGCAAACAATTTCCTCATTTGTTAGCTGTGAACTTCAAACAAAATTTATGTCAAAATTTGTCATCACTTAGATGCATTTAAATGAAATAATTTGTAGATTTTGATCTTCAGGGAAGAATTGTAATCAATCATGTAATTATTTGATCATTCCATTAAATTGATTCTCCTCTCTTGTATCCAATCACGTATTTATGAGTTGTGGAACTTTCTACATTGCATCAATAGAGGGCGCTTTGGTCCTGCACTAGCATTGACGCAGAGACCAAATGTGAGCTTAGATCAGTGCTGCAAACTGTAGACCATTATTGATGCTTATCTCAGGTATTTTATTTTTGTTATTATATTATTCCAATTTCCTGGATTTGTCCAATTTACTGTGAGCTGCAGTAATTTTCAAGAAAAGCAAATTTGTGTGTGTCAATTTTTACGAAAATATTACATTCAAAACTCAATGAATGGGAATGGGTCAGGGTGCCGCTGTAAGTCGTCACTTT